CTAGTCGACTATCTTCTTTACAGCGTCTTGCTTAGGAGTTTGCCTACAGATTGGGCATTAGCTTCAATTGTCGCGACCAATTTCTGACGTAGTCTGTGTCGAAGGTCACCCTCTCGTTACGAAATGCTTGGACAACATTGTTGGTACAGTGTATTAATTCTCAAACTATGAGGAAAGGAAGTGCTGCAGCTAAATTTGCTTCTATATGAAGTCTATTGTGTTTCTCTTCTGGACTCTGAGGCTGCTCACGCATATCCCATGAATCCCCTTCACATCTGTGCCTGCGCATACTTAGACCCTTTTTGAATCTAGAAATTGCCTGCTTGAACGGTGAGTTGATGTCAGGTTACTGGGAGCCAGACTAGTGACAAGCGAAGTGTATTTGTAATTAATAGAAATGTAGCTCAGTAGAAAAAACTTGATTCCAATTTCTCCCGGAATTCTAGGACTATATACACTGATCATGATTGACTTGATCTCTTGAACTCTAAACATGGACAAGTGCTGGGAATAGACAACCTGTGGTTTTAAATACAAAATCGAGCACTGACTGAAACAAACGACCTACGCACGTATGGACAGACCCTATTTTTGACCCGAGACATTTCCCTGTCCAACTTCTTCGATGGTTATTCTTAGCCTTTGATAGTTGACGGGAGAAGAGATGTTTCTACTCCGATGATGGTGGCGGGGTAGACTGCAAGATGAGCTGCTGCCTGGGCGGCTCGAAGGATTTCCTCGACAATCTAGGTGACGGGAATAAATCAGTGCTGCGATTTCAGGGAGAGAAGGGCAAAAGGTTTAGCTCGAGCCGGGATGCTTCCATTGAAGTTCTGATCACATGCAAAGCGAGAACTTTTGCATGTATAGCCTGGCATGGGGAAGGGTATTGCAGGAGTAATCCTCTGGGAGAAAAGTTGTCATGATTTCTACTAAAAATCTCCAGGTTGGTTGCGGCAAAGATGTTCGCCGACGAAGTCAGGCGATTGAGCAAATCGACGCACTTTCTTGTTCGTCTCCGTGGGACCTGCAAAGAGTGCAGACGACGCCATAAACACCGCCATGTCGCGCCATTTTGTTGGAGGGGAGGTTTGTAGTGAGGATTCAGCGCTTAGACTTGTGTCTAACATGACCCAGTGAAGTGAATTGGGAGATTGAAGAGTCTGAAACTATCGTCGAGAGTAGTTGATTAAAGCCAGCTAGTATCGGAGTGCTATGTAATCTACAATCACGACTGAGCGAAGGTTCTAATGCAAAAAAAGACTATGCGAAGGACACGCTTCCTTGCTTATTGTTACGGTTCGACGGTTGTTTAAGCTTAGGTCGATGCCCAGAAGCACTTCTGAGGATTCTGATAAAACGGAAATACGTTAGGGTCTGAAGCGGTAGGAGGTCGCAATAATATTATTTTCCTCATCGACGACGCGTGAAAGAGAACCACCGCGCTGCTAGTTCTAATTTCATAGCCACATTGTGCAGCTAGATATGTCTCTAGTCCCGTAGCTGCGACTTGTCGTGCGCAATTGATGTAACCAATTTCTTCCATACATTTTTGTTATAAACTTCTTTTTCATTTTCACCTTCATTTAGTACCACCTGCGTAATATGAGATTGGAGGGCAAGACTGAACACCTGTACGCGCCGTCCTACACGCAGCTGGGAGTGAAACATTCTCCCAGGGCCGAGTTTAGTCAAATGTCGAAATATCAAAGAAGTTGGCCCACGAGGCATTGATTCGAAATACTCCACCACGTCAAATTTTCACTCCCAATGAGATCCACTCAGACTTAAATCTCATCAAGTCTACAAGTACGACCTAGTACATCCTCATCCCATTGACCTTACCTCTCGTCGACTTTCTCTGGCCTCAGCTCGTCAGTAAATACACGCCCACGCCGATATTTATATCCGCTGGAAGAAGCAAAGCGTGGCGCACAAACCAGGGAGATAATTCTTTGGGACGGGCGTGAGCAGGATCACGACAGGTTCACAAGATGATGCAAAGGAAGTATGTAGCCTCGATTGGCGTGTAATTTGGAAATTCGGCAAGGAGTTTTACGAATTCAGCTTTGTGCGCGCCAAGGCTTCGCTTGCGAGAGTACATTATTAATTCAATTTATTGTCCTGTCTGAGTCTATGACTATGTAGGACATGCAGGTCCTCTCTGCCTACAGGCCAAGGATACCTATACCAGTAGTATATCCCCTCCTATGCCTCCCATACAGCTCCCCCCACACGGTACCGCCCCTCACAAGTCCTCATTTGATCATACACTAAGAGGAGCCCTTAGCCCTTCATTATCTCCCCTCTCCAGCCAACGAAACGATGGCCATTTTCGGGTGTATGGCAGCCGAGAAAATTCGCAAAAGCCACTGGGTGCGGGGCTCTCCTAATACCGACATTACGACTAAATCCGAAGACATAGTGATCCTTCTGAAGCGTTCGAAGAGGCCGGCCAGCTGGGCACTGCAGACTTGTGGGTACCACGGGAAATTCACCCTCTGCCTTTCTAGCCTGCTTCCAACTCCTTCCCGAAGGTCGTGCTGAAATGTCAGAAAAGTCTTGACAGAGCGTGATTGCTGTATAGTAGCTTAGCCTAACTTCTTTTGTACCGTCCAGGGCGCTGGGGAGTGCCGTTGACTCATCGACAAAAGAAGCCCTCCTGGCCAATTAGCCGAAATCTTGGTCTTGGCGCCCACAAAAAATCCAAAGTTGAAAACTCCTCGAAAATGTCAGTCCCAGCATGGTCTTCAGAGGCCTCTTTCCCCTCTCGCTCCACATCTCAGCCGCTTGTTCTTCCTCAAGATGTATAACCCCATTGGAGCAGCAGTTCCCCATAAACTAAGGCCCCAACTTTGTATTTTTCGACTTGATTTCCTCCTTGCGGGTATAAATAGCGTCATAAATATGTAGAGAGTGATGGCCGGTAATGAATGAGGCAAGCTCCTGTTTGCAATTGGGGTGATGCCTTTATCGGTCGTCGAGGCGAAGTGATATGTGGTTAGATCGGGGTTGAGGACTCAGAAGATAATGATGAGTGCTGCATGGTTGAGAAGTCGTCAAATGGAGATATACATGTGTTTGCTTTCGACTTCGATTCGGATGCGATTCTTCTTGGCTATCCCAGATATGCAGAGCATACTGAGCGATTACACCGGCACCACTGGAAGGTGAAGAATTCGTCTTTGCCGGCTTGCGAGAGTACAGCTGACACTATCGACACAAGTCGACAATGTAATTGCCATAGTCCGCCTCCTCGTGGTGTGTGTTTTTATACTGTACTACTTGAGTCATAGACTTTCTAGCACATCGGGCTCCTCTCTGACCCAGGCCACACCTTGTACAGTGCTCCTATCCTCTTTTGTTATTTGAAAGATCATTGATATATTCCCCTTGATGAATAGCCATTCAGCTCAGTGTTTACCCGTGGAATTCAGCCGCCTTTTCCACGGAACCGTCTACCCAAAAAAAAAGAAAAGAAAAATGGTAGCAATGGAAACTGCGTGCGTGGGAAAAGGTCTCAAAAACCTGCAGCCCCAGCCAGGCGAGGCCTAGACACCGGGACCACATGAAGTGCGCATATTCATCTATGATCAAGGGTTGGTGATGAGTAGGGCTCCGACTCTACCATCTGATCTGATCCTTGTAAGTTCATGATAATGGTGATAAGGATTAGGGTTGAGAGACGAAGACGATACAGACGGCGAAAGCGATTGGAAATCCTCGTCGAAGTGAGGACTTTGTTACTCAATCTCGGCTCTGCAGACTCTACAGTGAGAGCTGGAGGTTCGTAGGGGACACCACTGACAGATGTTGAGAATTGTCCCCCCAATCAGTTGCTATGTTATAGCTGTAGAATGTCATACCCTTGATTATAGTAGCCACTCTTGATTACCTAAGGAAGGTCGAGGACTGGATTTTTTCTGTAGCTTCTTGTCTTGTAATCATTCTAGACTTTGGATTAATCCAATTATTATAAGTATTATCTTATACTTCGACCCGTGTCCTCTGAACAATGCCAACGATCCTGACACTGACGACATACTGCCAGCAATTATTAAGTGAATAAGCCTACCAACAAGATTCATATGAAAGACTTTACCAGGTCTAAGATGATGAAAGACTGCTAAAAGCTACGTAAATTCTACCCTGTAGTTTTTAATAGTTTGAAGGGCCCAACTGATGTAGAAGAACAGATCTGAAAATAATGCCAGGGATGTCAGCAGAATGTGGGTGGTATCAAGTGATTGAAGTGATTTACTCTTGACCACTAGCTAGGAGTGGAGATGGACCATTCCACGGGTAATTACTGAGTTGAATGACTATCCATCACGGGAAATATGACAATGACTTTACAACTAACAAAAGAGGATATGAGCACTGAACAAGGTGTGGTCTGGGCCAGAGAGGAGCCAAATGTGTTAGATAGTCATTGGATCATGCAGCACAAAATATCCACTCACTCAGCAGGGACGAGCCGAACTCGGGTCCTTCCGACGATGATTATGTCAGTAATTTATTCGGCATGGGCTGGAGAGCACCGGGCCCCCTGAAACTCCATTTCCTACTTATCTCAATAATTAATCAAACTTTTCAGGCCATGGATGCCAATGATCTTAGTGTCAATTATCTGAAAAAATCCTTCGCCTCATTTCCATTTATTGCATGGCTTTTGCGCATTCAGCGGAGAGCCGAAATTTATCACGCAAATTTACCATGTACAAGCTCACTGATAGCTCGAAGCAATAGAATTATTCCAGTTATATACCGCTTCCATTCTCAGTAGCTTCTAGAAACTTCATTTGCTTTACTAGCGTTTCCACGCGTCTCTACACAGTCAAAAAATCACTCGTTACATATTTACCTACTCGACGTAAAAGTCTAGGTTCGCACCTTGAAATACTGCCGCCAAATATCATTTTTTCTCAAGGATTGTTTCGATATTGGCACGAGAAATATCTTTTCCTAATTTACACGGCACCCAAGGACATAATTCCAAAATGAACTGCATCTATGCAATGCTCTTATTACAAAATTCTATCTCAGAAATTTCCGACCGTGTAGTATTCACTGGCTCAAACATTATCATAAATGTGGAAAAAATCTATACCGAGGTCTATAGGCCTTTTAATGGAGGATTCCCGAAACCTGAAGATGGCACCGGTGTTTTCATGGCCATAGATGAATCTCGTACTCCAGGAGCTCACCATGCCATCTATTGTACTAGGGATATGCTTTTTCAGGACATGATGTCAAGGATTATGGTTGGATCTCAACCCTTGTCAGATGAAGATATCATTTATCTTGATAAAGATCATCAAGCAGTTGAAGAGTGTCACGAATATCTTCAAAATCTACCGCAAGAAATTGGTACGGTGAATCCACTAAGATTGTCGACGGCGGTAAATTCTGGCAAATGTACCGCAAGATCGATTGCAACTCTAGCCTTTGAGCATAGAGTCTCGGTCGTAGGATATTATGGATCTTTTGCACCGATATTTAGATCTCCGCCCATTAAAATAGATGCCGACTATGCGGTCAAAGTAGAGGATTTAGTACTACCAAATCAATCATTTATCTTCAAAAGGTCCAACGCGACACGAGCAATTGTATGGTACCAAGGTAAAGTACATGTACTCGAAAAATGCCGTGGAAATAAATCAGAATGGTACTTTATCTCTGACTTTAACTTCACGGAATTTCCTTTGAATTTATCCATCATACTGAGATATTTCAATGAAAGTGTCGGGGAGAGTAAAAGTCTTGTCGAACAAAGTGAGTTGAGCACTCGCTGGAATCAGAGGAAAAATTTTTGCGCCGTTGGACCACCTAGAGAATATCCTTATCGTACAAAAGTGAAATTGATCAAGAAATCGCCGCGCCCGCAGACTGTGCCGGGTGTCTTGATTGATAAATACAACTGCGCCTCATACATGGGCTAATCGCATCCCTTGTCTAAAATAGTGGACGTGTTTTAGCCTTTCATGAAAAGACATTTAATCAATACTTATTTCTCGGGTAGTGGTTAAGATAAAGTTGCATGCGTGTATAAAGTCTTTATAATCCCCTCGTTAACCCCACTTGTCAGGCTCTGGGTGCGCATATGACCAAGCACAATGTCACCTAATTTCTTGGTTCGAGATTTTGTATCCCCATTTGTACTTCGGGAGTCTCGTCCGAATATTAAAGTTCTAGGGGGTATCTGGAATGATAGAAGTGAACGTTGACCGTCAATTCATTACTGTACGAATCGTAGGATATTGGGGAGTTAAAAATCAGAGATAAAAGTTTAGGATCAGTGAGGTTTTTGGTTTTACTGAACTTATATTTAGTCAGTTAAAAGTGTTTGAGTTTAATCTACATATAACTATCTATCTTTGTCCTACCTCGCTTAGGTAGAAACATAATGTTCTGATTACGTGATGGAATAACATTCCCAGCACCGAGATCATTACCAACCGAGACCTCACCAAAGCTGGTAGCGATCGAAGATGAATAGCCTTCGTCTACTCCGCACTACTTGCAGTTCGGTCTGGTATGTCTAGATTTCAACACTAACCATATCATTATTGTGATTGGTATATGGTTTGGGAATGTACATTTGCGCTGGAACGGCTAAGATAGTTTGTGGAGAGATACCTTTATTAATATGCAGAAGTGAAGATACTTTGGTTATTGTTATGTTACATTTGGGGGAAGCTCATCCCTTATCACCAAGCTTGTTCGCCTGTAGGCAGATCACTTAACCAGTATACAGCGCACCAAATTGTACTCCCAACTGAGCAGCTATGCCATTTGTCCTATATCAACAATGCATCTCTCATACTGCACACAGTACTACTTGTAATGCCGTTATGTAGAGACTGGATCTCATTCATGGGCCATAGTGCCATAATAACTACCTATACGCCAGCCACTAGATCTACCATAATACATAGCTGAGCATAACAATCATCTCTGAAGGTTACGGCTTAGTATATAATAAAACTTGGAGCTGATCGGGCCCCCACTTGGCATTAACTTAAAGCACATCTGGGCCACATACCGACAAAGTTAGCTTCGGGAAACATGGGTGCCAGAAGGGTTTATGGCTTGCGAATACCCAAACATCAGGCTCCCTGGGCTACCGTCGACGGGTGTGGAGCGTGTGAGAGGCTCGATAAGTTCGGTGTCATCAAGATGATCTAGGAACAAACAGGTTCAAATAGACATCTAATTCCATAGATTTCGTATGCTAAGTGACTAGGGATCTAGTGTAGAGATATGGCGTTGGCTTAGAATACCCAGGGAGGTTCGGCGTTATGGAAGCACTGGTGACATTTTCATTACTACTCGCTTAAATCTTATTATATATGTAATTTGTAGATAGAGCTTTGCTCTTTAGCTTCATTAACTTTTAAACCTTGAGTTCCTGCTTGCCATAATCAGCGTGTCATAACATTGAAGATCAATACATAATATCTGAAATCTTCCATGCTGTGTCTAAGCATTCCCTCAACAAAATACTCGAGGGTCCTCGATTGATCCTACTACTAAGAAATCACTTGTCCTTCATCTTATTTCCCGTTGTGCTGGTGATAGCCGGGATCACGATGCAAAAGGGTAGTGATCACTGGGAGTGAAGGTAGATTTTGCTTGTTGTTTGTTTCATATTTAACGTCTACCTAAAAAACGGGCCTTAGTATTGAAATGTGTAACCCACTTCTTAGTTCGTGGACTTGTTGGTAGAGGGAAGCTTGTGCAATAATGAAGGATAAAAGGGCGTCAATTCGACTGCTCTTCTAGACACAGGCACCAGACTCCTTTTAATCCCAATAGATAGCCCGTGCGGGATCTCCTATTCACAGCAGTGAACAACTCTAACATAGGGTACACGCAATCTCCGTTCGCCAAAAACCAGTCGGCCGAGACTACTTATTACCGAGCCTAGTAGTATCGACAAAGTGTATCCCAACACAGAAATAATAGAAAACTCGACAACCAAACCCTCCATCACTTACTTCCATCAATAATTACCCGACTTATCTCTGTACTCCATTTTTCAAACACTAGGCCCGTTTTAGCTAAAAACCAAATGGGGAAAGGACGCTAAGGCTTACTGCCTCAGTTGTCGGAGACCTACGGCTCCCTAACCTAGGGAGGTGAGACCTGAGCAAAAATTCAAGAGAGTATCCGATGACTAAGGTACGACAACGATAAATTATGGAAAATATATATACAGGAAAAATATAAACAAAAATTAAATCCCTTTGGTGTAAGTGCAATACCCACGAATGAAAGTGCAAGTTAGTACGAATTAACTGGTGCAAAGTAGGCCTCAAAGGTTATCACGTTGAATTTTATCTTTTCAAAGGTCCATCTGCTCATCTGACGCTGCGGTCGATGTCTTCAAGATCTCAAAAGAGTTTAAAAAAAGAGTCCGCTTGGCTGCGGCTGCGGATAGTGTTGATGGTCCTGCTGTAAGGGTCGTAAGATAGATATTTTGCACGAACTATCTAGATCTAGCTACAAAAGAAACCCTTAAACAGGAGAGGAAAATTGTTGTAATTAAGGGAGTAACATGACTGCATTACAATAAACTGTTCACATTAGAATAATGTGCACATGCGCCATGGGATGATTGACCTAAATCATCACTCATTGGTATGACATAGTATTTCCCAATAGATTCCTAATGGTATCTATTGGCGCTAGGATCTCTCACATCCTTCCTTTCTCGGTTAGACAAGGACAGATGTTGGAACATCCACTAGTGTGCAGAACCCCCTTATTCATATATATAGAAGAAGGTCCTGTCACGTAGATAAATTAAGCAATTCATACAATAGGAAATTCAAACAATCTCCATATTATTTACACACTTGAGAATACTAGGGAATATCCTCAAGTTCGTCCATTGATCCAAGTCCTAAGAGTATAACTCACGAACTTTACTTCTCTTAAAGCCATAGCTACCTCCTTCCATACCTTCATCCTAACGGTACGTCATTCCAGCTCAGCATAGCATTTCAATAAAATTAACTGGAGGAACCCGCTATGTGAATAATCTGGCTTTAGGCCAAGCTTTCGAGATATGAAAATGAAATGAATGATATGGAGAGCAAGATGTGGGGGATGCCTCTTGCCAAGATGCCTAGCTGTTCGGCTTCTCTGCTCTCCGCCAAAGCTTAGCCCTGTAATCATTCAACCATTAGGATGTAGAATGATTGGGTCTCCCATAATCCTTAAGCCCTATCTTACGCTAATCCTCCAGTATTCAAATGGCTTAAGCTTGTGCCTGAGTTGTGCTAGGCTCTAGCCCATGACATCTGCTCCATATGTGACTGCAAGATAGCTGGTGTACTGTGCTATATGAGAGGTGCTGGGGCCCTACGAAGCGGTAGAGGGTTTAACGCATACGGCTTCTGCTTGACGGCAGATGCACGCCTTAGAGAAGATCTGACGGATGGCTATAACCTGTGATTTTGTCTTTGGTGGATTAGATGATTGTGGCCGTAGCTCACAACTAGGATCGCCTGCTAGATGAGGGTGGTGACAGTGTACACATCGCGGTGGGTAGATATTTCCAGCCGGTGCAGCGCAGAGGTTATTGAGGTCCTTATCTGTGTGTTGGGGAGACCCACAAACGCAGCTGTTGTGCCAAAATCAGCACGTCCTGCACTGTACTACCGACGAGCGTTTAGGAAGGATTCGGGCGACGGTGCGGCACACAAAGAGATAGAGGATAGGGGGAAGACGGCTATGGTGTTGAGGAAAGTGGATAATTCAGGTTGTGTCCAGGCTTTCTGAATTTATCTCATTTTCCTGAGACGAGAGTAGCGCTAGCTGCTGTTGCTACAGCAGCTGCTAAGACCTCGGTCGTAACTGGTTCGAGGCAGTATTACATATTTTGGTTTATCGTCCCGTAGAACCGAGGAATATTCTCCAACCTGTAGGACGTCCAGGGCAAGGTTTTCTCAATGGGAGTAGTCTCAAATAGATCAACTGTTGCCAGTTTCTCGTTTAAGGCATCGGCATTACCAGCGCTTGGCGGAGAGTAAATCCTGTCTTTGTTGACACCACATTTGATAGATGTTGGCTTTTACTGCCAAGCTTAGGCTTAAAGTGTGTTTAAATTCCATAGCCCGATGCGGTGCGTAGAGGACTGTCAGAGGGGAGACGAACAGACAATCTGTCGTTTGGTTTGGTGTTTTCGGTTCAAAAGTGAGCATTTAGCTTCTTTGCGGAGGGAGGGCTTTTCTGTGCGCCTCGTTTGGTGGCGCCCGCATAGCTTTGGGAGGCGTTTAATTTTTCTGTCTCCACAAGGCTATATTTCTCGATAGTTGAGGTACCGTGCATGTATACGTTGAAGCGCTTACCAGCAATGGTTGCTAGTTCTGAGGTGCAGTTGCAGAGGGCTTGAGCCTGTGACTCTGGTAGAGTAGCACGAGCATGAGAAGAGCAATGTTCGTCAAGAAGTCGAGCTAATAAATCAAACAAAGCTTCTGCTTCACGAGCTTTTGAGACTGCTAATTGAGCACCTTCGAGAAGAGACCGTTGAATGGGGCCGAGGGTTTGATCTTCAGGAGCGTTATCGTGCGAGAGATTTTGATTTGAGAGGGAGTTTTGGGGGGCGTCGAGGTCAATAGGTGGGTCTAAGCAATATTCTTGGAAGACCGTGATTCATTCTTGACGTAGTCGCGGGTTTTGTATCTGTAGAGTGAAGGAAGAACTTGCCAGGTGATTTCTGTAAAGAGAGGGCGACTCTTCTCAACACCTGTCAGTGGTGACCCCTACGAACCTCCAGCTCTCACTGTAGAGTCTGCAGAGCCGAGATTGAGTAACAAAGTCCTCACTTCCATGAGGATTCCCGGTCGCTTCCGTGGTCTGCATAGTCTTCATATCTCATCATATTCCCTTATGACCACTATCATGAAGATAACCACGATCAGATCAGATGGTAGAGTCGGAGCCCTTCTCATCACCAACCTTAATCATGGAATAAGAGCCATACGATGGGTTTCCGGAGCGTACCCAGCTCCCGATACGGAGATGGCGGATTGGATCAAGATGGCCTCAACTGTTACAAATAAGGGAGATATAGATGAATATGCGCACCTCATGTGGTCCCGGTGTCTAGGCCTCGCCTGGCTGGGGCTGTAGGTTCATGGAGACTTTTTCCCGCGCGCGTAGTTTCCATTGCAAGCATTTTTTTGGAGGGGGGGGTAGAAGGTTCCGTGGAAAAGGCGGTCGAATTCCACGGGTAAGTACTGGGCCGAATGGATATTCATCACGGGCAACATTTAGATGATCTTTCAAGAAACATGAGAGGCAATGAGCACTGTACAAGATGTAGCCTGGGTCAGAGAGGAGCCCGATGTGCTAGATAGTTTTCGACGTAAGTAGTACAATAAACACACTCACAAGAATCATAACGAGCAGCAATTTGAACGCAATAATTGTGATAACACCGTAAACATACTGTTAAGTGGCTCGGGATGTAGTAAATAGGGATGGAGTTGGACTAGGAGACCTACGGCAGTCTGGCGTTATGGAGGCACTGATGACATCTTCAGTACTATTTGCTTACTTCCAATCCCGTTACTCATGTAAGCTGTAGACAGAGCTTTGGTCTTTAGCATTGTTACCTATAAAATCTTGAGTTCTTGCTTGCCACAATCAACGTGTCGTAACACAGATCGACACTATGACACAAGTAGTGAAAAAGATAAGCTCACTCACTCACACTTAGTAAACAAGAAGAGAAAGACTACAAATACCACTGGGTGCGGGGCTCCAATACAGACATCAGGACAAAATCCGAAGACATAGCCACCCTTCTGAAGCGTTTAAAGAGGCCAGAAATCTGGGCGCTGCAGGCTTGTGTGCACCTCAGGAAATTAACAATCTCTGACTTTCTGGCCTACTTGTCGAAGCTCGTGCTGAAACCTCGGAACAGTCTTGATATAGTGTGATTTCTGTATAGCAGCTCAGTCCAACTTCAATGTGACGTATAGGGTAACGAGGAGTGCTGTAGGACTCATCGATAACAGAATTCCTACCAGCTAATTATCCGAAATCGTTGCCTTGGCGCCTACAAACGTGCCAAAGCCAAAATCTCCGGGAAATATCAGTGCCATTATGCCCATTAGTGATCTTCTCAGCCTCTCGTTCCGCGTCTTAGCTGCATGTCCTCCCTCAACTTGAAGGGCCCCGCACGAAGTAAACCCCAAGCCCTGTACACTATGAATTAGTTTCCCCCCTGTGGAAGTGAGAAGCAGCGTAATTTTCAAGTGGAAAATAGACGACGATGAATGAGACAAGCTCCCGCTTGCAGTTGGGGCAGCTCTTTAATTGGTCATGGAGGCGAGGTGGCTTGTGGTAAAATCGAGCTGTAGGACTAGCGTCAAAAGGATGGGAGCGAACCTAATGATAGTATTTGAAAGTAGATCAGCCGGTATCTGCTATCGACTTCGATCTGGGTGCGACTATTATGGGCCATCTTCGATTTTAAGAGCGTGCCGAGCGCTTCCACTGGCAACGCTGAGATTTAATCCCATTACCTTGGTTTGACGCACGATGGGCCAATGCAGCCATCCACGGACTTGAATACTTGCATGAGAAAATAGGTATAGGGAAACCCCGCCAACATATCCTTCCTGGCGCCACTACTTTATCTAGTTAACCTATGATTTTAATAATCAAATTAAAAATTAACCTATAAATTAAAATATGAGACGATGTGGACAAGAACAAGACGGAATTCACACTGTATGAACAGTGTAAACGCCCTTCCTGTAGGAAACCTCAGAAAACAAATAGACACGAGACAGACAGTTTTGGGGGGTTTTGACCAAATTTGGTTTACTCCTGTGTAAATATTACAGCTAGGTATACCTGAACGGGCTGAATGAAATCAAATCAAAATCCTATAAATTAAAGAGCTATTTAGGTAGATCTACAAGTAGTCTTTCATAGTCTAGGACTTGGTAGAGACATAAATGTAAATCAATCAATCTAGTTAACCTACAGGATGCGCAATGACACTTTAGTACCATCTACGTAAACCAATCATATCCTGTCCAGAAGCCCCAAGACTTGCTCGTCACGTCTCCTTACATTATCAGCATCTCGACGGCGTATATCGTCTGGAATGACTCTGTTCAACTATAACTTAGGATCTGCTGTGTAATCGCATTGATACCACAGATTTTTGAATATTACTTGGAAGGACCTTTCCTTGGCATGCCTCCCAATATCTTCTCTACCATTTGATTATGCAGGGAACGTCATAAACATGTACTTGAAGTTTTGTTTTGGTAGTAATATGCACAGATAGGGATGTAGGATAGAACTGAATTGAATTCAAGTCCCTCCTGAGTCTTTTGGGACTCCGAATTAAGGTACGTTCCAATGAGCTATTTTGTCTAACTCAAGAATCATATTAAAAATAATTGAAAAAGCTCATAAAATATTTTTTTTAATATAAGCACGAGTTGAGCACCGCATACCCGGATGGAATAGTAACACAATTCTACTTGACTCTGATGTAAAAAACATAGGCTGCTCAGGGCCCTTGTCGATAACTGATTACTAATGAGCTAATGCTTAACGAGGTTCGTTGACAGGCAAACGGGACGTCGGATCTTGTTAGAGATTTACAAAGACCTCCATCGTCAACAAACTGCGCTAGCGACGCAGGTCAAAACGGGGGAAACATTGCGCGATACAGTAAGTGCATTTACAAGGCCGAGGCTTATGGCCCATTTCCCTGCACAGCCCCTCACACAGCTTCTCGGCTCGAACGGTAAGAAATGTCTCCCAGCGTTGCCACACACCGCTAACCCATAATTTGGTTTTCAGGACCGGTCCATGCCCTCACATATTCTGCCGGGCCCTCAACATACATTCTGACCGGCTCGGCCGATCGCAACATCAGGCTCTACAATCCCGCGCGCACGCCAACAGCCACTGGCGCTCCACCGACCCAGCTAATTCAGACCTATGCGGCTCACGGCTACGAGGTTCTAGCTCTGACTGTCTCGCCCGACAACAGTACTTTCGCCTCTGCGGGTGGTGACCGCGCTGTATTCCTCTGGGATGTCGCCACCGCCCTCACAATTCGCCGTTTCGGTGGGCCAAACGGCCACTCGTCTCGCATCAACTCGGTGAGCTTTGCCGGCGAGGCTGCGAGTCTATTGGTGAGCGGTAGTTTCGACGCGAGCGTCCGCATCTGGGACGTAAAAAGTGGTAACGTGAAGCCAATTATGGTTCTCAGCGAGGCTGGAGACAGTGTCAGCTGCGTACTTGCTGGCGACGGCGAGATCTGGGCGGGGAGTGTAGATGGACGCGTACGCAAGTATGACTTGCGATGTGGAAAGGTGGTGACAGATGTAATTGGGTCACCCGTCACTTCTTTAAAAAAGACAAAAGATGGGAGAGGTCTACTGGTCGGTAGTCTCGATAATCAGATTCGGCTGATGGACGCCGAAACAGGCGGCCTCCTCAAGAGCTACCGGGCCGAAGGCTGGAAGAATGATCAATTTCGCATGCGAAGCTGCTTCGGAGCCCGGGAGAGGTGGGTGATGTGCGGTAATGAAGAAGTCGAGGGTCCGGATGGCCAAGTAATAGTATGGGATACGCTGAGTGGAGAGGTGGCAGCGAAAGTTCTTGTTCCTGGAGCTGCTGCAGCGACTACGAAAAGAGTTGGCCCAGACGGAGTCATGAAGGTCCGGAAGAATGTCATCAGCTGTGTGGCATGGAAAGGCGATGGAAAAGGTGACCAATGGTGTTGTGGGGGCGCAGATGGGGCTGTGACGGTATTTGGAAGTCCCTAATCTGGTATTTACCACGGACACAGCGGTAGATCAAGGGACGAAAACAGTAGAAGATTCAAAAACTAGAATTCATATACCATTGACGACCATCAGCCATTGTCAAACACAGGTAGCACAAGCAGGAGCAACTAGTGGGCAGCAATCTATATTCATCTGCCGATTTCCCCTTTCACTATGATAAAAGATAGAAGTCACACGAAAAAACTGCTTTGTAAGCTTAGTTCCTACCATCTTATACCTTGCAACTTCTAGCTGAAGATTCTCCATCTGGCAAACTGTTAGTTGTACAAATTTACAGCAAAGACTGCATGACAACCAGTAACGGCTCAGTGAAGACTATACACCCATCAGCCGCGTCGAATACGGGCCTCTGGCTCTTTTTTTGTTATGCATCAGATTTTGTTCGGATTAGGTCCTGGTCAACGATGTCTAGCCTAAATGTGCTATTTTGCAGGCTACTGTTCCAATTATTCATGGGGTCATCATCAGGGTTGTGAGTAGTTTCGGTTTGGTGTGGGTTGTTAGATTGATACCTGAGCGTGTCGCATACTAGTCAGATATGCGACTCGAGTAGCATATGCACGGTAAACCTCAACCCCAAAATGATGATACGAATCAGGTTTTACATGCTACGTCCTGTATGGCTAGCGCGGTTTGAATATAGGGAATTTACCTGTAGATAGATAAAGACGTTGTAGCCTTCTGATAGTTGGGACAAGTCTTCTACAATATTACATCGGAATCAATACTAGCCTCTCATCAAGCAATCTCATGAATTATTTCCAATGTCTGTGATAACACACATACACATACAATGTCGACAACAAGTTTAAAGTCGATAAGTTATGAGCCCGGGGTTTTCTACTGCATAAACGTCACATTCATATAAACAAACACAAGATGAGTTCTAAAATTCTGTTAAAAAATGCTGGAGGGTTTGAACATTGGCGACTTGCCATAAATGAGCCATCATCCCAACTACTTACAGAAGATTTACTTGAGACAGAAAACGACTCAGCTCCAGACCCAACTTTAACAATAAGTCGACCAGTGTATTTAAGAGACGATGCAACTACTCAAGAAATAGCCTTATGGGAGGCTAGGGAGAGACAGTATATTATAGTTCACACACGAATTCAACAACTCATGGAGTATATGGTTCAGACATTAGAACCCACGTTATATGAAAGGGTAATAACTACCCATAATTTCAGTAGACGTACTCCAACCTCCCTTTATCGAGCAATAAAAAGAACTCTAAATCCAACCTCAAAATCTGCTGAAACTGACTTAAAAGCGTCGTTGGAGAGACTTGAACGCTTATCAAAAATGATAGATATAGATGTTTGGTCAAATAGCTGGATTTGTTATGATATGAGACAACGAGGTAGTCGAGGCTAGGGCATTGCGTGTGGCTCAAGGCCACAGCATACATCACTAGTGTACTGGTTAGGCGAGCATGTATATAGTTTCATAGGTGTACCCACAATAAATGGACACAGGTTTAGTCTTATACTTTCTGTCCATATACCTACAGCATAGTATTGTATGAGGCTACTCACTGTCAACCACAAATTATAACATCATCCACTCCTCATCACTCCGCAATGTGACTTCCGCATAGCTCATAACCACAACAGGTTATGAGCCCGGCTCTTCCCAGCGCAAACAAAACGTCAAACAGCCCGGAGTTTACATCATTATCGCTGTCCGTCGTGTCACATTCGTTCAAAGGTATCATGCTCGATGATGGCGCACCATCCGAAACCTGGAGATAATCTATCTTGGCCAAGCTCGCAAAACGACATAGAGTCGGCCATGTCTTCCATAACGAAAAAGGTTTCCGTCCCGAGGTTGAACGTGGACTACTTATAGCAGGACCAAGCGAAAGCTCCGAGAGTTACACCATACGGAACACAGAGTACGATAAAAGATTACGGACCTAGGGCCCTGATGAAATCCAGGCCTACCGGACGATAATCAACCGACTCGATCCCAGTGTCATACCAACTCAACGGCCCAACTTGACGACTAAGCAATTGTTTGACAAAACAGCGGAAGCACAAGTTCCATTCACTACCCTTCCCCACTTACATGCCTATAAATCATTCTCCTTGACAAACCTGGTGAACACCGCTGACCAGTATTGCAGTCGATACAATAAAAACCTGCAGTTTGTCAACATAACAGCGGTTATGATTATGACCCGACCAATCCCGATGTCAAAAAACATCATGAATAACCTTTAAATTACACCGGGACAGGCAAGGGGTAATTCATCAGAGGGACAAAAGGAGTTGAATGGCTCGATAACTGGAGACAAACCAGAACCTCGTGCCACAAAAGAAGGCTACAACCCAAGGGATCTCTTATGTCTTCACCAAGGGAAACAGAGAGCAGTTTACAAAATTCAAGGCGTAATGTAGTCGCCTCAAACCCTCAAACACCGAACCCAGAAGCCATATGCAGGATGTAAAAGCATAAAAGTATAAATAAAGACTGCTTCAATCAACATCCGAAGCTTGCATCTGGGAATTAAAGGGAAGGACAAAGTAGACCCAAGGGAAAGTCATACAATGGGAAGGGAAAAGGAAAGTGGTACTCAATGGTCTAGACATAGACTCGGAGAGTGAGAGTAAGAGAAAGAGGAGATTTGACATGGTTGGAAGCCTTTGGTCAATGACATAATCAGCACTACATTTATGATACTGGTGCACAGCACCATTTCGTTTCTGTGAAAATAAAGAATACCTCAGCAGCCTGCAAATATGCCAAAGCCCACACAATTTCGATCAAGTTGTAGGTGTCACATCCTTTAAGAGGCAAGGCACTGCATGGATTGAAATGGCGGATTCCAGGCTAATTCTGCTTGTGTGTATTCTCTCGTTAACCCATTCTCAAATAGCATTTCCGAAAGGAGATCAATGAGTATTGCGAGCATCATTCCAGATTTAGAATAATAAGTATTATTTAGATGCCAACAAAGCTGTCCATATAAACTCAATGCCAAACTCCATCTCAAAAAGGATGTTAAGTACACAGATCCACGGAAAATCGGCAAATTAAACTAGAAAGCAGCATCAAGTATAGCCTCAATACCTCACCAAACTAGCGCACAGCGCTGGCATCAACAGTCAGGTCATACTTGGGAGCTACTACTCAAAAAGACTGCTGGCATTTCTAAGGGACTCGAAGGGGTCGACATATCTGGGCTCGCTACATGTGAAATATGTCAAATAAGCAAAGCGCAACAACCCATTCCAAGTGAGCCCTTGGACTAAATTTCCGTGGATACTATAGAGGAAAACAAATAAACAAACGGCCATCAGTATGCAGTATTTCTGACTGGTGCCAAAAGTAGAATGCAGTGGATACTCATTTGCAACACAAAGGATCAAATATCTCAGCCATTTGTCTAATGGGTCGAATCCATGCATCACCTACATGGAAAACAGATTCGCATCATACCTAGTGACAAATGGTCGGAATTATAAAAAAAAAAAACAAAATCCTATTATTAACAGCATAGTGTCCGCGCCGACATCTTCGCACCAGAGACAACAGAACAGAACGGTACATCAGAAGCAGCCAATAAAGTCGTACAAAGAGTCGCTCGATCATCCCTCATTGATGCCCACATGCTACCAAGCTACTGGCCCTGGGCAGTACGACACGCAAGCTTCGTTGTAAACCGTCTGTGCTGCATACGCAACAAAAAAGGTACCAATAATCGACTTCATAAAGGGCTTCGACAACCCCATCCAGAGAAGATTGATTCAGAAACATGCCCCGGTTTGGCTGCCGTGCATATAAATAAACAAGTCCAAATCCGCGAGGAGTTCCAGTTAAGAGCAGAAAAAGGGTGGTTTGTAGGGTTTAAGCCAACACCAACAGAAACTATCTCATTCAACATCCACATTAAACCCCAGTTAAGGGGTGGAAATAGATTGAGAGTTTTACAACTCAGGCATCTCTCAATGAGGGTAATGTACTTGGCAAAGAACTTGTTCAAGATAATCAACATCTACCCCACAAACAAACCAACTCTTCCCACAAAAACATATATCCCAGCTCCCATTTGAGTCTGAGGGGGAGCATCTGCAAGGTTACAGGTCGCAGCATCCTCAAATGTGACCAGAAGGTTTTCAATCTCAACATCCAAAAAATAGAGATGATTAGCAGTCGACCAGAGACGATCCACAGACTGAGCTACAAGCTCAGCAGGGAAACAGTCCATCAAATCATTACCCGCCATTTAACATTCAGCCATTGGTACCATATAACAAACTGAATGTAAGCCAAAAAAAGGTAATGATACAACATCAGAATGTTCCGCCAGTCACTCGAGCAGACACATTGCCGAACATTCCAACAAACATTTCGTTGGATACATCACAAGACATGACGCCAAGTACACCTCCCATTTCATGGTAGCACGGGAATGGAACCAGTAGCAATCCAACCCCATAATGAGCCAGATTCATCAAAGGAGCCAGAGTACGAAAATGAGCGTCAGTCAGTTAATCCAGTTGACCAACAAACTTCACCTGACCTCTATCTTGTCCCAGAAAAAGGAGAAGTGACATTCGCACACAAGCAGGGGAGTCAGCACAAAATTCTTATCTCAGAGAACCATTCAGCCAGGGGGAGTCCGTTTTGATCTGCAAAACAAAAGCGGTTCCACTAGATAAGATAAAGACTGGTTAGAATTCTTGACCTCCTGTAGCAAGACAAAATTACTTCCACATTCCTCAACAGCTGGTCAAACACACAAAGAGGGACAGGGAAGTTAAACAGGTTAAATTTTATCGCCTGCATCATGGCATATAAGCCATCCAAGAAACTCGTGCATCAACCAATCACCTCCGGGTAGCACGCCATATCCTAAGATACATTGCAGAGAAACCTGAGAAAAGCTTACCTCCACAAAATAAAGGGACGATCAATTCTTGAAGCATATTCTGGTGCTCATTTTGGGTCTGACCCATCAACCTGCCGAT